ATCACTTGAGGTTTTACAAGAACTTTTAAATACAAGAATGAATAATTTATATGTTGAAGGATTCGATGATTACGTAATAACTGAAATGATAAATATGTTATGAGTAATGATCAATGTTGTATATTTGTGCATAATTTTCTCTTTCTTTTGGAAACCTGTATTTTCAAATATTTATTTAAACAAATTTAAACTACACCATTTATATATGTATTTATATCTTTGTGTGTGAATAAATCTTTATAATATAATAATATATATATATTGGATTATGGACCTATAGATTCATGTCTAATTGGACCACGGACCTATAGATATTTCTATATATAACACCTTGATCTTCCTATCTATCAGCTTATTAGTCCTTGATAACAATTCACAACACCCGAATAACTATTTTCAAACGCTGGATTGAATTGTCTAATCGTTTTAAACTCCTGCTGATCACGTGACAGATTATGATTGAAAAATCCGCCAATTCGGATTCATAATCCGCACAGGCACAGTTCATTGAACACTTATTTACTCCACACTCCTTCTTCATTTACTCCACACTCTACCTTCATTTACTTCAAACTTCTCCTTCATTTACTCCACACTCCTCCTTCATTTACTCCACACTCTTCCTTCATTTACTCCACACTCCTCCTTCATTTACTCCACACTCCTCCTTCATTTACTCCACACTCTACCTTCATTTACACCACACTCCTCCTTCATTTACTCCACACTCCACCTTCATTTACTTCACACTTCTCCTTCATTTAATCCATACTGCTCCTTCATTTACTCCACACTCCTCCTTCATTTACTCCACACTCCCCCTTCATTTACACCACACTCCTCCTTCATTTACTCCACACTCCCCATTCATTTACTTCACACTTCTCCTTCATTTACTCCACACTCCTCCTTCATTTACTCCACACTCCTCCTGCATTTACTCCACACTCCATATTTAATTACTTGCACTCCATATTAATTCTATAGTCCATATTTACATTACACTCCACATTTACTCTACACTCCATGTTTACTCTACACTCTATATTTACTCTACACTCTATATTAATTCTACACTCCATATTACATTACACTAATATTTACTATGCACTTCATATTTCTCTACTTTTCTTATTACTCTACATTCAGTATTTACTCTGTATTCAATATTTACTCTACATTCAATATTTACTCTACATTCAATATTTACTCTACACTCAATATTTACTCTACACTCAATATTTACGCTACACTCAATATTTACTCTAAATTCAATATTTACTCTACGCTCAATATTTACTCTACACTCAATATTTACTCTACATTCAATATTTACTCTACATTCAATATTTACTCAACACTCAATATTTATTCTACACTCAATATTTACTCTACACTCAATATTTACTCTACGCTCAATATTTACTCTACATTCAATATTTACTCTACACTCAATATTTACTCTACACTCAATATTTACTCTACACTCAATATTTACTCTACACTCAATATTTACTCTACACTCCATATTCACTCAATATTTACTCTACACTCCATGTTTACTCTACACTCCATATTCACTCAATATTTACTCTGCACTAAATATTTACTCCACACTCCATGTTTACTCTACACTCCATGTTTACTCTACACTCCATGTTTACTCCACACTCCATGTTTACTCTACACTCCATGTTTACTCTACACTCCATGTTTACTCTACACTCCATGTTTACTCTAACACTCCATGTTTACTCTACACTCCTTATTAATTTTACACTCCAAAAAGGTGGAATATTATCTAAGATCTATATATATATTTGTCTAGCCTATATACGTATTTATAGAAAACTGCTCAGCTTAGGATAATAAATCACTTATTCCTTCCCACTCTGATTATCTCTCATCTAGATCTTCAAAACTCGGATTTTTCACTCAACCTTCTCTGATTATAAACTCCAAAAGTATATATTAAAAACCCTGAGTCATTATTTAAAATAGTTCCAACTGCGAGGGGCCACAGATCGGACTAACCATAATTAAAATTCTATTCTCATTAAAATAACATTTAAACCTAAAAACAAAAACTTATCATCACTGGGCGTAGAATTAAAGAATTTAAACATTTTCAGGGGAAATAAGTTTTAAAAATCTAAAAAACATTGTTTTATCTAACTTAAACCCTAGGTTTTAAAAGTAAGAATTTAAAATTTGCAAAGTATATCGAGACTGGTTTAATTAAAGTTATCTTCAGTCTTTTATTTGTAGTGACCACCCATTCTTAGGCTTCTTTACAAACCCTTATCTAAACTTTTTTATCATGTTTTACAAACAGCTTTTTATTGGATTAAATGTTGAAGTAGCGATGCATAGAACTATTAAGGGGAATGTGTGTAATAATGTTGAAGTAGATACAAAAGTATTAAAGGGACTGTGTGCCAAAATTGACAAAACTAATAAAGGGGGGATGTGTGTCAAAATGTTAAAGTAGCCAAAGAAGTATGAAAGGGAATGCGTATGAAAATGTTTAAATGCAATCATTTATATTGAAATTTAAACATTTTGACACGCTCATTTGTGTCTTAAATATGACTTTGCAACCTTGTATCGTAGACCTTTCATATTTGATTATGGATTCTTTTCAATTAAAAAGTCAAAGTTTGAAATATCAAAGGTTTACATCATAAGGTTGAAATGACATCCTCAAATCAATTCTCTTCCCAAATCATGTATTTATTCAAATATCCTTGTTTGAACCTTCCAACTGTGAGATCTGTTTGTGCACTATAAACGTCAAACCATTCAAAGTTTGCGAATTTTCTACAGATCCTTCAACAAACTTTATCATTTATAGACTCATATATCTTCAACTTTTTCAGAATTATGCGCGTTAGCATTAAGCGCGTAAAACTTTATTTAGTAGAGCACGCTCACAAGCCATAAAGCGCGGACTTAAAATGGGCAATTCAGGCTCTTTTGTATCTTTATTTACATAAACTGAGAATTTTTCATGATAAACAATATTATATATTGAAAAAATTCGAAATTACAGAGTAGTGACTAGGACTTAGAAAAGTTAAATGTCATTGTTTTTAAACAATGCGTTTTCAAAACCAACATTTCATTCAGGATATTAGTAATATTTATAAATATAAGATGAATAAAATTGACACCGGAGAAACAAGCAAGAATGTCGTAAATAAATTTTACTCCGTCAATTATTTACATTTCTCTGTATACTGCAAAAGCAAACTCAAAGAAACCAATTACTCACATTAAGGCCATTTTTTCAAATCCCTACAAACTATAAATGGTGTAATGCTTTAAACTTTAAGTATCTAATTAGTTCATGGCATGAAGTTTCAAATATAAGGATTAGAAAATTAGAGTTTGAGGCGAGTAATCTGTTTTGTTGAAAAAATTAGAAATATTTTTATATTTGACTGTGTTCAGGAAAGTGGTTGGTACCTCCGAAACCCTGTGCCAGAAAATCTTTGTGTCAGAAATTTATCGAGATGATCCCGCACCCGTTCCACGCCAGCTACTGGAGAAACAACCGTCCATTCCTCTTCTTCCTCTTCATCCTTGCAGCAGTTAACATCATCCTCTTCATTCACAGAGCTTACTATTTTAAAGATTTCTCAATGCTCAACGGGTTTACTCCCAATCCATTCTACCTTCTCTCCAGGGCCTGTGGTAAGAATTTATTAATTTCCTTTTTTTTATACGGTATCTTGAATACTTTTCCAAGGGCATTTCCCACGTGTGAATCCACCATTTTCTTTTTGATAAATCTTGAAATTTTACCAATCCCTTTAAACGCTTTTTTTCTTATCAAGAATATGCATGAAATATCTGTTTTGGTTTACAGAGATATCCACAAAGATAAAAGGCATCATGCGGAATCATATTAAAAAGAAAAGTCGCAGAATTCAACCTTCAGATTTAGATTTTTAAAGTTTCTTCAAAATGCGAGAGGAAAAAAATCAAGAATGAAAGAGAAATCGAATATTTTAATTTCAGGACGATGTTTGAATTTTAACTCTGTGATGATCCTAGTCCTAGTTCTCCGGTATACCATCACCATACTACGGAACATGGGTCTCTCTCCTATCATCCCCCTGGATCATAATATCTACTTTCATAAGTTGGTCGGAGTCATCATATTCTTTCAAGCCTGGATTCATACCATCATGCATCTGATCAACTTCGGTAGGATGATATTTCCCTATTTGTCCCCCCCCTCACCCCTATCCTGTCCTAGCCGAAGAGCTCGGTCTCCTATCCGGTCCTAGCCGCAGTGCTCGCAACAGAAATTGTCTTCACCTATCTTCGCCCCCTGTGAACGCCCCTAAGGGTATTTGTTGCACAATTAGCAATAACTGTAAACCCTGGTCCTTAATTCCAATAGATTTCAAGTTGGTAGAATTCTAATTCTTTAATTATCTAGTATATAACGAGTATTTGCTTAAATACCGTGTAAATGATTGATTGGATAATTACGTTGATAAATTACTAACTTGATTTCTGGTTTCAGGGGTGAATATTCAACCTGATCCTGTTAAATTCGTCCAGCTCACTGCTCCGTACTGGACTGATTATGCTGCTAACTGGACAATGCTTGGATACGTCCCTCCTCCGGGTTGCGATATAGTAGCACGGGATTCAAATCTTACCCAGTACTGTTCTCCTGATGCGTTTACAATACCAGAGGGAATGAGTTTGAACCTAACCATCTCCCATTGCGAAGCTTGTATACCGGAGGCTGGTGGAGCAAGATGGAGCTACATGTACTGGCTACTAACTACCATGCCCGGAGTATTTGGAATGCCAAACGGAATTGCGAACCCGACCGGAGTTGCTCTGATCATCATACTAACCATCATGTTCACTTGCTCCCTATCCTACGTGAGACGCAGTGGATACTTCCAGGTGTTCTATGTCACCCACATGCTCTACTTCCTCTACTGGGCTCTACTCTTGATGCATGCTCCTGATTTCTGGAAGTGGTTTATAGGACCAGCTTGTATTTTCGTCGTTGAGATCACTTACAGGATTCTTACAAGCTTCCTGGGTCGTGGAAAAACAGTTGTTAGCGCTGGTGTTATTCTACCTTCAAGGGTCACACATTTGATTATAAAGCGTCCTGCTGGCTTTAATTTCAGTCCCGGAGACTGGGTCTTTATTAAGATCCCTGAAGTAGCAAGGTTTGAATGGCATCCATTCACTATTAGCTCCGCTCCCGAGGTTCATGACACTTTCCACGTGCATATCCGTGGATGCGGGGAATGGACGAATCGTCTTTACAAACATTTCGAGGATGAGTATGCAAGGCAGCAAGCGGGTATGCTCCAACGAGAGAACAAGATTGAGAGATTCAGAGGGACTGTCAGACAGAAATATGACAATGCAAGGACTATCATGTCTAAATCCATTCGGAAGAAATCAACTGAAGATACCGATTTCGTCAGTCTGGCCGAAAAGTACACAGTCGATATAGACCGACAGAAGGAGAGAATAAACCGACGCGAGGAAAAGCTCCGACAGCTCTCCAATACTCTCTCCGAGGAAGAAAACAACAATTCTGAAGAAATGCCGCAAGGTTTCAACAAGAAATTTCTCAAAAGCTTGCGATATCTTCGTCAGGAACCGACGGTAATCAAGTACGATACTGGATCTGCCGCTGAGCTCCAGGTTCCCCCTGGATTAACCTATGATGATGGGAACGAAAGATTCGAACTGATGGTCAGTGACTCCGGAGAATTAAGGAACAGAAAGATCAGTCACTATGACGGACCGGGGAAACGAGCAAAACTCAACAAACCGCTGGAGGTAAAATTTTCATATTTGTCTTATTGAATTATTCCTAATCTTCGTTGGTTTTCAGATTTATATTGACGGACCGTTCGGGTCTCCCTCCAGCAATATATACAGAGCAGAGCATGCTGTACTTATTGGAACCGGGATTGGAATTACACCATTCGCCTCAATTCTTCAGTCCATCATGCATAGGTGAGAAACAAATCAAGTTGCTTCTTATTCTTTTTCTTCAAAATTGTGACATTTTTTTTTCATAGTTGATATTGAAACTGTAATTTCAATGATAATATTAATTATGATAATCCGTCTGATGGCGTTGCTGTTGATGATGATGATCAACATATCAATGATGATATTGCTGTTAACTTTAATAACGATGATGATGACATTAATTATGATGTTTATGATAATTCTGTTTATGATACTGCTGATGACGTTGATGTTGATGATGAGGATCAACATATTAATGATGATTTTTCTGATAACTTTAACAATGTTGATGATAATGATGTTGATAATGGTGATGACTTTAATCATGATGATAATAATGATGTTTATTATTATTCAGGTACTGGCAGGTTAAAAAGAAGTGTCCTAAGTGTGAGTACCAGTGGTCTGATGATATATCATCAACTATGTTTAACCTACAGAAGGTAGGTTTCATCACCAAACTCAATCTATATGATTTTTTGCATCCTACAAACTTCAAAACGGCTGAACCGATCAGGACCAAATTTGTTGTGGTATATATCATGTACACATGACCACATGGAAGGTCTCATGGCTGCTCGAAATAGAAAAATGTCGAATTTAAAATTTGTTAGCAAAATCCGCAAAATTATTTGTGTAATGATTTACGAAGAAAATATGGCGAGGAGAACAGCTAAACTAAATTTTTTTTCTTGAAAAAGTGGTGCGAAGTGCCTAAGAGCCTAGTACTAGTCTATATATGGAGGTTAAAACCCAATGAAGGGGCAAAGTACTTCATTTCATTATGCAGCGGTGTCTAGTAGTCTTTTATGAATAAATACATATATAACCTGTTATACAGTATCCTTGTAGTATATGCACAAAGCACTAAACCCAGGGATTATTAGGCCTGGAGCAGTGGTGTGCAGTATCCAGGTCTTAAACCAACCAGTCAGAGGGAATCCAGTGCCAGGAGTTTATAGACCTAATAATAGTAATTATTTCAACTAGGGTTTACATTGAGCTATTCTCTGGACCCAAGGGTTCATGTACTAAACCCACTTCCCGTCAAATTGGTCATCCTATGCATTGCATTTTCTCAGTACTATTCAGTCAAATATTTAAAATTATATAATTATATATGTACTATATATAATAACAAGGTTTTATACATTGTAAAAATAAAAATGTTGTGGATTTTTCTTTGAACAGATTTCACCAAAAAATATAATCGACATTTTTTAAAGGCAAATTTTTTTTAATTTAGACCAGCCAAAAACCTTCCTTGGGGTCATGTGAAATCCCACAAAAAATTGGCTTGGTCGGTACGTTTAGTCGTTTGACTTTTTTTTTGGATACAAACAAACAGACAAACCAATTAACAGACAAGGGTCCCAGAATTTAAGAAAAGTTTCTAAATAAAATCCGTACCGTCGTCTCTGGCCGTTGAATTGCGGCATTCCTATGTTACCTAATTTTACAAGTAAGTCCTGGCAATTCCAAAATAAGACCTATCTTTACCTTCTGTTCTTTTAAGATAACAGGAGATAATATACGGAAATTTTTTTTAGGAAATTGAAATATGAACAAAACTCTTTATATCTTTAGTAATTTTAAAAGCAGAGCATATTTTGGGAATCCCAGGAATAAGGATTTGTTGGGATTATTGTACCTGAGCTGTCATGTTTTGCATGGGACACCCTGTATATAAAGGACTTGAGGCAGGATATATATGTATATATCTATTGTCATGTTTAGCATGGGACACCCTGTAAATAAAGGACTTGAGGCAGGATATATATGTATCTACTATTGTCATGTTTAGCATGGGACACCCTGTATGTAAAGGACTTGAGGCAGGGTACATATGTATATACTATTGTCATGTTTAGCATGGGACACCCTGTATATAAAGGACTTGAGGCAGGGTATATATGTATATACTATATTGTCAGATGGTTGATCTCCGAAACATTGAAGATTACAGTGTTTGGCTAAATTATAAACTTCAAACATATCCAAAGAAAATTCTTAAACACTTTGTTATATATATAGAACAGTTTAGAATATGTAGATCAGAATATTGGTTTAGTAGATATCTAAGTCGATTCCGTCTGAAGATCTTATTTTGTTAGATATCTGGATACGAATTTAATTTAGTTTAGTTAGATATGTAGAACAGAATTGGTTTTAATAGATATCTAAGTAGAAAGGTCTTATTTTGTTAGATATCTAAATCAGAATTGAAATTAGTGCATATCTAAAATAAACCTTAAATGTTTGTTAAATATCTAAATCAGAATTGAAATTAGGGCATATCTAAAATTGACCTTAATTGTTTGTTAGATATCTAAATCAGAATTGAAATTAGTGCATATCTAAAATTGACCTTAATTGTTTGTTAGATATCTAAATCAGAATTGAAATTAGTGCATATCTAAAATAAACCTTAAATGTTTGTTAAATATCTAAATCAGAACTGAAATTAGTGCATATCTAAAATTGACCTTGTTTGTTAGATATCTAAATCAGAATTGAAATTAGTGCATATCTAAAATAGATCTTCTTTTGTTAGATTTCTAGATTAGAATATTGCAATAAAATTTTTTGATTCTTTAGATATCTAGAACAAGATATCTAGAACAAGATATCTAGAACAAGATATCTAGAACAAGATATCTAGAACAAGATATCTAGAACAAGATATCTAGAACAAGTTTCAGTAAATATGTTAAATGTTTTGAATGAAATATGTTTTAAAAACAATCTGAATATATACAATCCACATAAAGTATGTTTTTATTATTCATTAAAAAACGAATTTTTACGATTTTGTTTAGGTTGATTTCTTCTGGATTAACCGGGATCAGAAGAGCTTTGAATGGTTCGTAAAACTTCTCTCCCAGTTGGAGATAGAGCAGGCCGAGCAGGGTGGAGCTATGAGCAGGTTAGACCAGGAGAAACACACGTTCTAAAACTACTAAGAGCTATAAGGGACTGTCCGAACAAAACATGACCGAACGCTTTTTCTTTTTGAAAATTTACTATTTTTAATTGTGGCATTCCTGTGAAAGGGATTTATGCAGCAGAGGCACGGAAAGAATTATATAAGATGGAATGGTTTAAATTTGTTTTGTAACTCTTCAAGATTTGTGGGGATATCGTAGTAAATCAGACATGAAATTCTTTAAATTGAAGGATCAATTACGCTGATAGTCCCTTTAATAAGCATAGTAGCCTAGGCCGGACCTAGATAGGGTTGTATGAAGTGATTATGTGATAACCTAAACATATACTTGGTATGGAGGCATTCTATTCAACTTTTAAACAACAGTTTGATTTCAAGTGCCAGTTTTTATAAACCTAATTATACAGCTTATGTGGGGGGAGGAGGGTAGGAACATAAATTAAGGAAGGAGAGGAAGGGGG